GTGTATGGAATCCTAATGAGGGGATTGGTCAGTTTGCCATCCTGCTAGGTTTAAAATAAGGAGCTCTGGTGGCATAGTGGATAAGGCACTTGGCTGCTAACCCAAAGGTGAGTGATTCAAACCTACCAGCTACTCCATGGAAGGAAGATGGGCCCATCTACTTCTGTAAGGATTTACAGCCTCAGAAACCCAATAGGGGTCACTGTGAGTCTGAATCAACTCGATGGCAGTGAGTTTGGTTTGTTTTTGGTGTAGGTTTAAAATGAGCCATCCCAGAGGTAGCAAAGGGGGATCTCACTACCATTAAGAAAGAGGAGCCAGGAGTGGACTCAAGATCCCTGTGCTGAACCTCCTTAATCCAGGAGACAGCTGTGACACCAGAGAAAACGCAGTGGCAGGAGACGATGGTGGCAGAGCCGAGAGACTGACGTGAGCTACAGCAGTGGACTTCCCAGCCCACAGAGCAAGAATTCTGAAGGTCTTCTGGTAGGAGGCTTGCTGGCAGAGAAGGGTACCTCTAGGCATTTACAGGCAGACCTAAAAGAGCTTTGTGTAACACTTGTCTGAACTGGACAGAGGCCAGGCGGAGTGTCTAAGGGCATGAGAGACACCTGCTTTCAGACATGGCTGAGGGGAGGCTGTGCTGATCAAAGAACTGTATCCTGAGTGTTCCTGATCCTGAATTGTAACCTGTTATTCCCTAATAACCCAGTAATTATGTGTGAGTTCTGTGTGGCCATTGCAATGAATTATTGAAGCCAGCAGAGAAGTAGAGAGTGCTGTGGGAGGGATGATTGGTGTCAGAATTGGTAAGAAAATAATAAGTTGGAGGGTGGCAGCATGTCTGACCTTCACCTCATAGGAATCAGCCTTGGGCTGTTGATGTTGATCTTCATCTTCCTCCTCTCTTGTCAAGTTAGAAAAGGCAGATGCCACCCCCATGCCATTTTTATAGTACTATAATGCTGATTTTTTTTTTCTTCGCTTAGATCTTTAGAGAATGCTGATGGAGAATGGTATGAAAATGGTGTGTATAGTTCTACTTTTGGGAGCTCTGGTAGCATACTGGCTAAGACACTTGCCTGCTAACCAGACGGCTGGCAGTTCAAACCCACCAGCCACTCCTCGGAAGGAAGGTTGGGCAATCCTACTTCCGTAGTGATACTGCCTCGGAAACCCAAGGAGGGGTCGCTATGAGTCGGGTTTGACTCGACGGCACATAACGACAATAACAATTCTACTTTAAAAGGATCGTTTGGGTACTTATCCAACTACCCATTTCTGTCTCCCTTTGCCTTGGCAGGAGCCCTGATAGAGATGTGGTTCAGGGCTCTGCTGCTAACCAAAAGGTCATTGGTTTGATTCTACCATCCACTTGGCTGGGGAAAGATGTGACAATCTGCTTCTGTAAAGATTACAGCCTTGGATACCCTATGGGGCGGTTCTACTCTGTTCTACAGGGTCACTGTGAGTGAGAATGGACTTCACAGCATGAAGGTGTTTTCGTTTCTTGGTTTTGCCTGGGAATCTGCCAAGAGGGGTAGCCCATTGGCCCTGTATAGAACTGGGCTGCATCTACAACTGAAGGAAATAAGGTTTCTGATTATTCAGGAGGTTTTGATGGTTAGCAAGTGATTCTGTTACAGCATTTAAACTTCTGGAAATAATTTGTTATCAGAATTAAAATGCCTCCCACTGCCCACTGCGGTATGACTCTAAAATGAAGACAGATAAGGGAGTGTTACCTTTTCTCTCTGTGCTTTTCTGTTACAGTTTCTCTTAACTTGAGGCCACGCTGACAGTGACTGTCATTATGCTGCTTTCCACCTAGGGCTCTTCAGTTAGTGGCCAACCCAGAAACCCAAGGCAGGGGAGGTCTTGGACAGAACTAATTGCAACTGTCTTGGTATTTTTCTCACCAGGTCAGAAAGCTTTCCCTCTCTTGCCCTAGTTCTTGGTTATTGTGTTTTATGTGCGTTTGAAAATGACTCTTAATGCTATTCTGGTCATGTTGTGTAAAGGGGCCTAGACGTTAGCTTTTAAGCAAATCCTGATTGGAAGAATAGCCCTGCTAATACACTTTTAAAAATAATCCTACTTCTTAAGAAAAGTGTAAGGAGGGTTTAGGAGTTGCAAACTTGAACTCATTTAAATTATGTTGTTGTTGTTGTTATTTGCCATCGAGTCGGCCCCGACTCATAGTGACCCCTCCTTGGGTTTCCAAGGCAGTAGTATCATTACGGAAGTAGGAATGCCCAACCTTCCTTCCGAGGAGTGGCTGGTGGGTTTGAACCTCCAGCCTATTTAAATTATAGCATAGAAAATGCAGAACATTTTGTACTTTGTTCCTAACTTACTGGATTGAAACATTTTCTACCTATACCCTCTTGTGGTACTGGGTTTATTCCATTATTTATTGCCTGCTGGGTGTAAATAATATTATTTGTCCTAAAGCCTCTTTTTCAGGTCTCAAATGCTCGCTTATTTTAGAGTCCTTGTAAGATTTGTCGAATAAATTCACTCTATCAGCATAAAATCTGCCCATGCCTTAAAATACTTGAGTTCTCAGTCATTTCTGGTTCCGTGCTAAAAAGTTTAAGATAATCTGTAGTCCTGGCAATTTCTCTGTGCTTCCTTCTGATACTAGAATCCTCACCAGTTCTACCATTAATGTGATAATCCAAGCTACCATCATTTCTGGCTGGGACTTTTGCAGTTCCAGTAATTTCTCACTGGCCTCCTAGATTATCATCTTTTCCTTAACAATATACCCTTTACTCACCAGCCCGAATAACCCTTCTAAAATGTAAGTCTAATCACACCAGTCCTGCTCAGAATCCTCCTCTGGCTCCCATCTCATTCAGAGTGAAAGACAGTCTACTTGATCCGGTTTTTGCTACCTCTTTGACCTCATTTGTCCACTCAGGCCATTGCACTTGAGATTCTCTCTGCTGATTGGCCTTGGAAAGGTCACATACCTGCATTGAGCCTGTTTCTGCTTATATCAAGAAGAATAAGAAAGTCTCTCCTCCCTCATCTACCTCACAGGGTGCTTGAGAGTCTCAGATGTGTTGCTCTATTTTCACTGTTGGCTCTTGTTTGTTGTTTCTCTGCTGACTTTAAGCCAATCCTTACATTGTGTTAGTAATGTAATTTCCTAGGTTTTACTTGGCTGGGGATAAGGAGATCAGTAGACCTTTCTTTGTAGAGCACTGATGTTGTTACTGCTGTCAGGTCAGCCCCTGACTCATGACGACCCCATGTACAGTGGACTGAAATATTGCCTGGTCCTGTACCATCCACACGATTGGGTACAGATCAGACCATTGTGAGCCATAGAGTTTTCATTGGCTGATTTTCAGAAGCAGACTGCCAGGCCTTAGTCCAGGAGCTCTGCGGAAACCCGCCTCAGAGCAACACACGAGCCCCCACTGACAGACAGGTGGTAGGTGCACATGAGGTGCATTGGTAGGGAATCGAAGTCAGGTCTCCCTTGTGGTAGACAGACACATGCCTTCTACTTCTGTCCTATTGTTTGTGTTGGAATGTTAGGGGCCTTTGTGTGTATAGAATGGTTGGTGGGGAAGGCGAGAGCTAAGTCCGGGAAATTGTTCTCCAGCAGGGCCTTTTGCTGCTGCCCAGGCACCACATTAGGTTGTCATGCAGCGAGGAGCAGTGATGGCTGGAACTGCTCGGGAGTTTCACGGATAGCCTAGTGCCAACCCAGCAGCTCCAGTATTTCCTGTTTGCATGTGTCTGGGCAGAACTGTGGCCTCTGTCCAGGTAAAGTCCCAGCACAAGAAATCCAAGTCTACTAATTCTTCATTTGAACTGTGTTATGATATAGAATCCTGGCTTCAAACAACAGAAACACTAGCTAGAAATAAACCTTGGAAGTCTTAGCATGACTTCTTGTACTGTTGAACATTCTTGATGTTTACTGGGCTAATCCAAATCATGGGTTTTTTTGTGACTCTTGTCAGTTGTTTGTAAGTGGAGAAGTGGAGCTGGAATAACCAAATCAGAGTGGGAAAGAGATATTTGTGAAAGTCTGTGCATATTTGTATGACAAGTGTGGTTAAGGTGGAGTTAGTACGATGAGGAATCCTGGTAAATGATGAAACCGGTTCTCATGGCTGTGTCATGTATCACAACTAGACGCTGTTAGATTATTTTGAATACTTATTTGTAGATGTATTTTAAGGTCCCTGGACAACATATGTGGTGTGCCCTCAACTACTAACTGAAAAGTTGGTGGTTTGACTCTGCCCAGCAGTGCCATGGAAAAAAGACTTGCCAGTCTACTTCTGTAAGATTATAGCCATTGAAACCCTCTAGAACCCATGTAGGATTGCCATGAGTTGGCTTGACAGCAATGATAGATGTGTTTTAATTGATATCTGGTATTGTTGAGAAGTTGTATGTTGGTAAATTGATTTGTTTACGTTTCACAATGGAGTATACCTTTTAACCTTAAGTTAAATTCTTTTGTAAGGAAAATCCTTTCATAAATTAGAATATAATTGTAAATTCATACTGCGTTTGGAGTGGGGAGCCATTAATTTGTTGTTCTTGCCTTATGTGGGTACCCTATGGTCATCTAACTAGAGTAGGTCAAACTAAAGGGTATGAGCTCAAGTTCTTTCCTACAAAATTGTTTCATGATAGCACCTGGAGAGTGGAATGCTGAAAAAGATGGGGATTAGCAGACTTCCAGTTGGTCCAGCTTTTCATTTATTCACTATATAGTTTTGAATGGCTCCAACATATTAAGTTTTAAACTAACCACCCCATAGCTCAAGACCCAATGCCAGTAGGAATTAGAAGAGATACATGTCTGCCTGAGGCCTGGAAAATTAATGGAAGTTCACGATACATGTTATATCCATAATGTCTATTCAGTGAAGATACTTTTTATTTAATAGAGAAATACATTAAATAATTCACATCACTTATTTGTGCTTGAGATATTAAGGGTTAACTTCAATCTTTTTCTCTAGGCAAATAAGGGAGAGACTGAAGAATCAAGTTGCTGAGATGAAGGCGCAAGTACCTGGCTTCACACCTGGTCTTGCAATTTTACAGGTATTATGATAGTATGTTTCCATTAGTGTCTGTTATGGATTGAATTGTGTCCCCCAGAAATATGTGTTGTAAATCCTAACCTCTATGCCTGTCTTTATAATTCATTTGGGAATGGCTTGTCTTTTTTACGTTAATGAGATGGGATTAGTGTAGGGTGGGTTTTAAGATCAATCTCTTGAGATACAAGAGAGATTAAATAGGTTATCGAAAGAAGCAGAGAACGGGGAAGATTGATGCCAAGCCACCTGGACCTCTCCAAGGAACCAGGAAACAAACTAAAGAAGAGACAGAGACCTTCCCCCTGAGCTGACAGAGAGAGAGAGAGAAGAGCCTTTCTCTAGGTCTCTAACCCTAAATCCTTACTCATTCTCTCAATAGCACTTCAGACCTACTCCTTCCCTTTTAGTTTTTGACTTCTGTGAGCTCTCGTATCTTTTTAGTTTCTCTTTGTAGTCTCCTCCTTTTCAGCTTAACTTCTAGTTGTTGGAGTAGTTTGGCCCTCTTCTAGTCTCTGTGGACACCCTTTAATGAGGCCAGTTTTTCTTAAACTTTGAACTTTGGTCTTAAGACCCCTTTACACACTTAACACTTTAAGACTTTGTGGAGCCTTTGTTTGTATGGCTTTGTCCATCGATATATACTGTATTAGAAATTAAAACTGGAAAGTTTTAGAAGTATTTGTTAATTTAAAAAGGCCAATACACACCTCATTATATGATAACATAAATAACATTTTCATGAAAAAATAACTTTGTTGGAACAAAATTTAATGAGAAGAGAGGCCTTGTGTTACATTTTTGCAGAAGTCTTTACTCTCTGGCTTAGTGGAAGATAGCTGGTTTCTCATCTGGTTCTGCATTCAGTCCTGCTGCATGCTGGTTTGCTTGAAATACATGAAGAAAATCTGGTCTCATAGAGATATGTGTTTGGAAAAGGAGGGAGTCTTTTAATAGTCTTTGTAGGTAATTGTGAAGTGGTGCAGTGGTTGAGATGATTGGCTGCTAACCAGAAGGTCAGTGATTTGAATCCACCAGTCGCTCTGTGGGAGAAAGATGAGGTAGTCTGCTTCAGTAAAGATTTATAGCCTAGGAAACCCTATGGGGCTATTCTACTCTGTCCTGTAGGGTTGCTATGAGTCGGAACGGACTCGAAGGCAGTGAGTTTGGTTATTTTTTATTACACTAACACTCAGTAAGTAGATGATTTAAAAAATTAGTTGCAGTGTGGGATCTGAAATTGTGTTGGTGAACCTGCATTCTTTGTAACCTCAAAATCCATTGGTCTGTGTTGCAGTTAGAATGGGTATGTTGCAGGGTTTGGATATTTTGTATGGTTTTCAAAGGATGTCCCTCGGTGGCACAAATGGTTAAGTGCTCTGCTACTAACCAAAACATGGACAGTTCAGATCCACCCTGAGCAGGCAAGTGGTTTGGTCTTACTGTTTTAAAACATCCTAAATTACTCACTTGGAAAAATAATGGTTCACTGAATTATGTACATCTTCACATCTTCTGTAATTACTAAGTAAGAATAAAAGGTATATGTTGTAGGTGTGCACTCAGTACATTTGGGGTCCAGTTATTTTTTGGCTTATTCTTGTGAATTATTTATTATGGAAAGAATAAGTGTCATAGTCAAAAAACCTGTTTCTGTAAACCTTTCCTTAGCAGTATTGAGAGATTTCTGCCCTCATTTTATTTTATAATATTTATTTTTTTAAAAATCACCATCATTAATATTACCAGCAAACTCATAGGAAAAGTCTTTAAGTATTGAGAAACTGTCAAGCTCACAGAATAAAAATTAATTTTAACTTGAAATCTTGTATTTATCCATTGGGGACAAATACTATCAATTGTTTTCTTTGACCTAGGAGATTTACTTTGTTCATTTTTGAGAAAACATCTGCCAAATACTCAAGCCTGAAAGCCATTGTTTGTCTTTCAAGTAAAGATGGTATTCCACTTTAGAATGTGACTGGTATAGCTTGCAACGCAAAAGCACAGCAGCTTTCCTTAGTGACAGCCCCTGTGCTTCTGTATTAAGCAGAAGTGCTTTTTGAGTGCTTTTCAGATCTTCACACAGAATATTAAAAAAGACATAGTCAGAGGTGAAGGTTTAATAAAACAAATCATTTTCACTGCTTTGTCAAGGACACTCCCAAGTGAAACTGGCAGTTGTTTTCACTGAGTGAGAGTGAAGAATACATTGACTGTCAGCATCCTTTGGTCCCACTGCCTTGATTTGTGGTAAAGCCCCAGAAGTTGTACCCACCATTGCTTCTGCACCATCAGTCCAGATGTCAACTCAGTGAAAAAGGCAAATAACGTCCTAGTATTATTATAAAGATAAATGTGACCTCTCAGAGACTAGGAGGATGTAAGAACCACACTTTGAGAACTACAACCATATGCAGTTTCTTCTGGCCCTAAACGCTAGCTGTAGGCCAATGACTTCTAAAGCTGCATCTCCTCTGAGTTCCAGATTCTTGGTTTCAGGGACACCACTCTTGTTCCTTTCTTTTCTCTAGTTTCCTTTCCTTGTTGTTTCTCATCTCCCTGATATCTAAATCTCCAGACTCAGCCCTCGTACCTATTTTTTTTTTTTTTTGAACTTCTCTTTTTTTTTTAAATTAGGATTTGGGTGAAGATTTACAGAGTAAATTCACTTTTCATACAGCAGTTCACATATACTTTGTCTCATGTCATTGACCAAAATTTACAATGC